GAAGTGTTTCTCTGTTGATGGGGTTAATGTAAAGCCAGCAATAATGGGAACTTGCTCTGGGCGCTTCTGACACGTTACTAAAATACTCCCTTATTACCCATAACTCTTGAGTTGTATAATGTTTTGAAAGCCGTCCGGCTGACCTTGGAAAGGTTTCGCTCGAACGAGAGTGATGTTGTTCTCCGTCGCTCCTCTGATTGGCTGGAGGTGATGTGGGCGTGGCCACTTGACCTCTGACCTTGAGCCGCGCCACTTTCGGGATGTGATTCTCAGGCCGATTATGTGATGCTAATCAGGTTTGACTCCCTCACAGTCGACATCAATTGAGTGTTTTGCTTTTTCTGCCCTTCACGAATCCCCCAGCGCGCCTCCGGTAAAAAGACATAATGTTATCAGTTTGGTTCGTGCTGAGGCGCAGCGCTTCTCCATTTGTGTGTGTGTGTGTGTCCCAAAGGAGTCGCTGTTTTTAGCCAACTGTCTGGAAGCAGTCACCCATCTATATGATTATAAGCAGCCATTGCTATGGTTACAGACACAGCCAGTGGTCAGTTACTATGGACACAGACACCGGCATAAAGCGGTCACTATGGTTACAGACCATCTCATTCAGGCTGAGAATGATGCGGATGCGTCTCGCACTGATATTGACTGAATCCAGACTTAAATCCTGCAGCATGTGTAGTCCGGTTTACTGTGAAAGTTTGACACGTCAGATGTGCTGTTTGCTTTCTGAGAAAGAGCCACAAACTACTGATTGATGTTTGCTTTACAGACCATATAAAAGAGCATTTACAATCATTTTACTTGCATATTAAAATGCCTTTATGAGTGCAACTGGGAAAAAAAGTGGGGGTGTGAATGCAGATCTGAATGCGAGATTGCAGTGGATTTTGCAGTGTTTGCAAAAGTGGATTTTGAAACGCTAGCGACACACTTTTGAGGAGGAACGACCAGAGCATCCCAAAGGTGATGCATTGTTCATCTATTTTTCAGCTAGTCCTTATTTGATGTTATTGCTGTAACCTTTACTTTAAATGTTAATCAGCATAAAATGATTGATGCATCACTGCAAAACAATGAATGCATGCACTGATTAATCAGTAAGACGTGCAACATGAATTTGGAAAGTAAATAGAATGAATTTTGATGTTGTAGGAAAGGAACAGGCAGCACGAGGAAAACGTCCACATCTGTTTTATTCCAGCAGATGAACACAGACCATCGCGGCGAGGGACGTTCTGCCCTCCTCAGCATCAGAGAAACACAAAGTGGTCACAGTGGTCTTCATCATCTTCATCATCACATGAACCCACCACACACACACACACACGGATGCACACAAACACAGATCGTCCTGTGAGAGATACGCTACCGTCGCTAAATGAAGGCACAGAAATCCAGTAAGGCAGATTCACAGCACTAGAACACTGAAGATAAGCTACGCTTTCATTGGTGCATCACTCGCATCCAGCTCGCATCTTTCTGCTGTTGTCATGGTGACACACCCTTCCTCTGTCACTCAAACAAACACGGAGGTGGCAGGATGTGTCACAATTTCAGACGTGACATTCAAAACTCTTCACTCTCAATGTCCTGCAGAGTCTCTGCAGTTTGTGTGCAGATGTTTTCATAGGCAGTAAGTGAAGAGAAACTGATTGCTAATATTTGCTAGAAAAACAGACACAGGTCTACAGAGATGTTAAGACTTCACAGCTTCATACTTCTCAAAAAACAGCAGGTTATTTTAGTCAGATTGGCCTCAAGAACCCAGACGACGGTAAACAGGAGAGCTAGGCCGGAAACGTAATCAGGTATGTGAATGTTTGCCTGGTGCATTGCAAGCATGCAGTCCTCATACTTCATTACTAAACGGGGTGGAAGCTAGACGGACATCATGAATGAAAGGGCCAAATTACCCTGTTTACATCCTAGCATTGTCTTGCACGTGTGCCATCTTGTTTCTTTTAGTTCAAGTCTTTCTCTACTCTTCCCTGAGATGCCCAGTGGCTAAATGGTGTGACATCATATTCCAAAAATCGACGTCTTTCTTAGTTTGATGTTGTAACAGCAGGCCATGCTTCACAGTGTGTGTCGTTTGGATGAATTCTCGAAACCCTTTGGGGGCGTTCACACGGGACTCGTTCTTGTGATCCATTGCTGCTATGTTGTTGACCAGTGTATAGGATTGCAAAGGGGTGGAACATTTCTGTAAAACTTTCCAAAAGTTTCTGAAAATCCCCAACGGTTTCCAAAAAATCCCGGAAAGCTTCCAGAGTTTCTGGAAAGTTTCAGAAATGTTCCACCCCTTTGCAACCCTATCGGTATGTGCATGCATCAAATAGACTGTCTTTGGCCATTGCATCACCAAACCTATTTCTAAGAAGGTGTATCAAGTTAAAAATAGTCCCAAGTTGCATCTCGAATGCATCCTGTGTGCATGCCCCCATACGGTGCAAAGGCTTTATATGATTCAGGGGGCTCTAGAATGAAGCCATGGACTGGGGGTCTGGTGTCTTTGGGAACGTGGTCTCAGGTAAGAGCATATTCAAACGTCCCTTTTTCCAGGCCCTCCAGTCCGTCGCCCCAGCTGGATGATGGCATGCTACTGTAGGGGTCCAGCAGGATCCGGAAACACCTGACGATCAACAGCCCGAGAAACACCAGCAACATCCCAACGAACGCAAACGCCGTCTTCTGCTCCAGACTCAGAGAATAGGCCATGATGTCACTCCCGCTCATGGCAGTTAGGCTGTGGTTATAGTGAACGCTACACATGTTCCCAGGCGAGCCCCGTCATCCTGCATGCGTCGGTAGGTTGGCGATCAGCGTGGATAGATGGACGCCTGTGAAGGTAGGAGATGCTCTATGGAATCAATCAGACAACAAGCACTTCATTAAATCACTGCAGAATTAGCATGCACGAGAATAACGGGACAAACATTTTGAATAGATGTACACTCTGTGGAGCATGCAAACTTGCCTGGAGTCTTTAATCGGTGATGTGCATTAAAATATGGCCAGTGTTATGCAACAGACAGCATAGGTGTGAACGCAGGACACAGCGAATGAATGCACGGGGAATCGAATCACGAAGGGAGTCTTCTTCTCCATTGAATTGCATTCTTTTGATGTTTTGTTTGAATTTCTAAAGGTAAAATAATGAGGATGATTACTGAAAAGTTCTAATAATAGAGAGCCATCATGGCGAGTCATTAATGCAAATGCACTCGCTTTTATCTTCAGGTAAACAGGTGGGATGAAAGATGAAGCCTTGCGGTTTGTGCATGCAGCCCTTGACTCTTTATTAGTAACCATCAGCATGCGCCGGTAGGTGATAAGATTTCTCAGCAGCACAGAGTTGCAGTAAAGCGAAGACAAATGCACTCCCTGCAGCAAACATTTGTACTAGAGGAGTCTCAGGAGCGATCACTTTTGCCGAGTCAGAGATCACAGCACATAGGCGACATCTTTAATCGGAGTGTGCACTTGAGTCAGCGCATGCAGCGGACGACACCAGGACCTGTTGCATCTGAGCTGAAATCAAAATGCATCTCACCTTCATTTTGGCCTCATTCTGTCAGAGCTGTTGTAGGCGGTCAATCCGCTATTCCTGCGCTTGCTGTCGTACCCCTCATCACTGCAGAAGAGCTGGTCGAGCCCTGCGCACAGCCAGCAGGAGCTCCACAAGCTCGGCTTGACTGCTGCTGATAAAAGAGGCTGATGGGGGAGTGAGAGACACCTGCGACTGAATGCTTTCACAGCCCTGCTGTCGCCTGCGCTTTCTGAGCTGCTCTGAGTGTCCCTGCAAACACACACACACACTGACTCTCTCTCTCTCTCTCTCTCTGCTCCTCAGCTTGGCAACCACTTGTTAGTCTCAGCTGGTTTGACTCTAATTTTGTTCTCATGCATGTACTCTTGCGCTCACCTGTTCTTGTTTCTTTGGCTTCCCCTGAAATGTGACGTTCCCAGCAGGCTGTTCTGCCTCGAGACGTTGCTGTGGATTAGGTGGGCTAGTGCATCAGTTTCATGGTTTCATCAGCATGTAACTCAATTAGACATTGTGCTTAAAGCGTCATTATGCTTTATGCATGATGCTCCAGCATAACTGATGCGGCTCAGCATGCTTTTAAAGGCACAGCGACGCCTTTAACCCAACGTGCCACCAATTCAATATCAAAATACAAGTTCTTTATGTTATGATGAGCATGAGTGCTGCGCAAGGGTGGTTGCTAGGGGGGTTGCTAGGGAGTAGTGGGTGGAGTCCAGTGCTGGGTAGTAACTAGTTACATGTAATCTGGATTACGATTGAGTATTTGTAATTAGATTATATTACATTTTAAAATGTCATCATAATCGGATTACAGTTAATAGATGACATATTAGGCTATTACACAATGGCAGTATTTTTCATAATTTGATTTGCCTTAATTCTTTTTTTCTCTCTCTCTTAAATTTTTCTTTCTAAAATTCTACTTTTATACATTTGGAAAGTCTCATGCGTTGACAAAGAATAGAACATATATTGGGTCAAAAGTAATCTAGCAGTCAGAATACATCACCTAATATGTGTAATCCAATAGATTATAAACTATAATTTCTGTCGTGTAATTTGTAATCAGTAACGGATTACAATTTGTAAGTAATCTACCGAGCTCTGGTGGTGTCAGAGTTTGTAGATGTCTGCTAGGGTGGAGTCAGACAGTTTTTATGTGGTTTCTAAACATTTTCTACGACTTCTGCTCTTTAAATATGATTCAGGTCCCTCCTTTAATGTTTTTTTTTTAAATCTGGTATACTTTATTGGCATCATGAAATCTAAACTCGTAGTTTATTGCACAGTATTATCATAATTACCCACTGACTTTTAAAATAAATTTAACCGACCTACGAGAGTCATGTCTCTGTCAGGTGTCTTTCCTTAAACCCCTTCATCCATCCATCTATCTGTCTGTTCTCTCCGTCCCGTAACAACAAGATCCAGCTTAATTTGCCCAGAGTTCATTTGTATTTTCCCTTTGTATGTCTCATGTAGTTGGTGAGGTTACATCCGTGGAACTCTTTAAGGATGGAGAAGGAAAGTCAAGGGTAAGTGTTGGTGACTCTGTGAGGTTTGCAAGGCCTCCGCAGCATCTCTCTCATGTGCTCAGGGCCGGTAGAGCTGATATACTGTCGTAGCTTTGTCCTCGGGACGGTGTGTTGATGTGGAGCGTTACAGAAAACGCCTATTAAGATGATTATTCGGATGTCTTTTAAATGGGTGGTGACCCGTTTGGCTGGGGTCCATCTGTCTCTCTCACATCTGATGAATGCTTAGGTGTTTTTGATTTGGATTTAACCGACCTACGAGAGTCATGTCTCTGTCAGGTGTCTTTCCTTAAACCCCTTCATCCATCCATCTATCTGTCTGTTCTCTCCGTCCCGTAACAACAAGATCCAGCTTAATTTGCCCAGAGTTCATTTGCTTTCCATCTCACTGTAGCCAAATGAAAAGCTCCAAACAGCTCGTCAAAGTCTTAGAGTCATGTGCTGTAATCGATCTCTCTGAGGCACTAATGATCAATCAGTCAGCTGTTTCTCTTTGTGCTGAAGTGATTCTGATGAGGTTCTTTCTTGTCGTTCTCTCGTCTCGTCCTCGTTCTTCTGGGATGCGCTCCTGCAGGGCTGCGGGTAAGAACGAGATGCTTAAACCTGATTCATTTATACAGCAAAAACTGAGCATGTTTTCACTGTCACTTGTATCAAGGATTCAAGTAAAAATGATTTAAATTTTTCCAAACATTTAAAAAGGTCATCAGTTGTGAAATAAAGATACTTAAATTGTGTTATAAGAAATTATGATTTAGATTATTCCAAAAGTAATCAACTTTACAGTATTAAGGTATTACGCTTTCAATGCTTGGAAAAAATATATAAATAATGGTCATGAAAATGTATTAATAATAAAGTAATATTTATGTAAAGTAAATATGAATTAAATCAGTGCAATGCAATGGAATATTGCCTTCAAGTATTTCTTCGAGAGTCAGAAATGTCAAGTGTTCATGTAGAAATGTTCATTATTTATATATTTTCCAACCATTAAAAATATACAGTAAGAAATTATTATTATTTATATTTTCCAAGCACTGAAAAAAGGAATCAACTATTTTAAATATTCATTTATACAAATATACAAGTAAATATGAATAAATTAAAACAATGCAATGTTGTATTCAAGTACAAATAATAATAATAATAATTATTATTAATATTTTTCATTTGAAAGGTAATCAACTGTGAAATAAAATGTCTTAATTTTTTATAAGCAATAATAAATTATTTATGTTTGTTATTTATATATATTCAAGCAATGGGAAAAAATTAATAAACTATTTTAAATATTTATTTAAATAAAGTATATATGAATAAATTAAAACAATGGAATGTTGTTGTCTTGACCGCAGTGTCAAGTATAAGTACAGATGATAATAATAATAATAATAATATTTATTATTATTACTTTTTCCCTAACATTAAAAAAAAAAAAAGTAATCAGTTGTCAAATAAAGGCACTTAAATGTTTCATAAGCAGCAAGAAATCATTATTTATATTTTTTCCAAGAATCAAAAAAATTAAAATATTAATTTAAATAAAGCAATATTTAAAACCTAAGTAAATATAAATAAATGAAAACAATATTTCTTCAGTTATGTGGTGGCAGTAACAAGTATTTATGTAGAAACTATTATTGTTTATATTTTTCCAAGCGTTAAAAAAAGTACTGAAGTGAAAAATAAAGCTACTTAAGTTGCTTTCTATTAAAAGCAGCACAGATTTACTGTTGACTGGTGTGTGTTCTTTCAGTGTGGTTGAGTTCAGAGATGAAGAGTTCGTGAAGAAAGCCATCGAGGTCATGAGCAAACACGATCTGAACGGACGGCCGCTGAACATTAAGGAGGTGAACACAGCATTCTGCCTGTTCTGTTGGGATACTGATACGATACGATACGATACTTCTAAACTGATCTTTAAATTATGAAATGTAATAAATTATTAAATTACTAAGAGTAAAATGGGTAATGATACCCACTTATATTTATTTTTGAAATGCATTTTAATTAGGCCTGGGCGATAAAACGGTATCGATATTTATCGACGGTACACCTTCTTCGATATCGATTGAAAAAATGTTTCAAATATTTGTTGCTTGTCTCAATATATTGTTAATTATAAATACAGTGGTTAAATTTAAACACTTTTTTCTATTGCTTTTTGTTTTAAAAAAAGTTATAAAAAATGTCAATAATTATCGATACCGAACGATATGAAACATTATATCGTTGATAAAGTTGTTTAGCTATATCGCCCAGCCCTAATTTTAATGTAAAAAAATCTTGTGTGATTTAACTTGTGTGTGTTTGTTTGTTTGCTGGTTTTTATTGTATTTGTTATACTTGTATTTTTTTAATTGTTTTTGCCATGAAAATAGCCTTTGATGCTGACATGGCATTAAATAAATATATACTATACTTGAAATGCATTTTAACATTCAATACGCCTTAATTGCAACTAATTAGGTTATATTTTTTTAACACGTGGTTAATATATGTAACCATGGAAATCTACAAATACTAGAGTTAACCTACAGTCACTTTAGTAAATAATGGTTCATGGTTTCATTAGGGACAGGCTGTTGCACGCATAAAATACAACCTTTTTATTCTGACAGTGTATGGTTTATATTAACATTACAGATATATCGTATCGACCGAAATTAAGAAATATATCGTGATATCAATTTTGGCCATATCGTCCAGCCCTAACTAGAACATGATCAATAAGAACTTTTAACGTTCAGTTTAAATAATTGTAATTGCACAAACTATGCAGGCTACAATTTCAATCTGTTTATTGTGAAATAACTCAAACACACAGACGTTTTTTCTGTCCTCTGCTAAGCATTGTTCTGGGCTGCCGTTCCCAAAAACATCAATGCTTTCTTCAGAAGCGCAGCCCTGTTTGAATGCACGGTCTCTCTGTGATTGATTGGTTCTGTCTTGCAGCATTTGCGTCTGTCGTACAAGTATTCGCTAACATAGGTTATTCGTCCAATTCAATGCATATTGTACACATCACGATACAAACAAAGATGCTACACACTTTGCACGAACAGTTGTTTTTGATTTGAATTCGATTGTATAATTTCAGGATTTAAAACAAAGTAGAAAAAGTTTTTTTCTTAAGCACTGTCCCAGTAGCTCCTGAAAATAACAGAAAAATACAGTACAAAGAATGGAGAGATGTAATGCATCTTTGTACTTATTTTACTGTTACTTTCAGGATCTACTGGGACAGTGATAAAGATCTACCAGTCGATCGCGATTGACGGGTTGGTGACCACTGCTTTAGATACTCGCATCAGGATCGATATTTCAGGATGGATACGCCCATGTGTGTGTTTGTGCAGACGGTTCCTGACGCGGGTCTGTTTCAGGATCCGGACGGAGAGCATGCGCGGCGCGTCCTGCAGAGATCGGGCCGGATGTACGGAGCGGGCCGAGGGCAAGACGCAGCTCCAGCCGGGATAAACATCCCTCCCTCCATCGCCAACAACCCCAACATCCCTCCAGAGATCATCAGCGCGCTGCAGGCCGGACGGCTCGGCAGCACCGTGTTCGTGGCCAACGTGAGTCTGAACGTGTCTCTGCGGTTCATTATTGACTGATAGAGCAGGGTTTATGCTGGCCTTGAAAAGTCTTACATTTACAAAATAAGGCCGAAAAGGCAGAGATGCACCGAATGTTTGGCAACCGAAATTATTCAGCCGAACACTAGGGCTGTCAAAATGTCTAACAAACTAAATTCGAATTTTGTACTCAAATATTCAAATTATATTTGAATTTAAAAGGCATAATTTCAGTTAGGGGGGAAACAAGCATTTGTCTTCTCTCTCGAGGCCACAAGAGGGCGCATTGAGCAAACTATTACTAATGCACGTTCCTTCAAAGCATAATAAAATAACACGACTATCTTTGAAAAAAGTGCATAATGTTTAAATGTTTATAAACCATATATAATTAATTAATTTGCTTAAACAATTAGAAACAAAACAGCATCATGTATGTATGTATAGTTTAATACAAAGGACCGAAAACCAATCACAAAGAGTACTTTCTTCATTTATTTAAAACATTAGATGCAGTGGGATGGATGGGGAAAAACCGCCATAAAGTCTCGAGACGTGTTTTATAAAAGTTGAACTTGCATTATTTTTACATGGCTTTCTAAACATGCGGCTCTTGTGCGAGACGCGAGTGCAGCGGTGATAGATGTCCCTCTAGAAAATGCGATAAATATGTGTTCTGTGTGAACGGCTTGGTTTCAGTTTTGATGTAAACAGCATCTTCCCCCGCATTGATTTTCTCTTTTTCCGCAATATTTAGAATGAACAACGTAGCAGCGCCGCATCTAGTGGCTTCAACTGGATAGACTAACAAAAACATTAAAATGCAACGACACTTACATTGCTTAAACAATTAGAAACAAAACAGCATCATGTATGTATGTATAGTTTAATACAAAGGACCGAAAACCAATCACAAAGAGTACTTTCTTCATTTATTTAAAACATGAGATGCAGTGGGATGGATGGGGAAAAACCGCCATAAAGTCTCGAGACGTGTTTTATAAAAGTTGAACTTGCATTATTTTTACATGGCTTTCTAAACATGCGGCTCTTGTGCGAGACGCGAGTGCAGCGGTGATAGATGTCCCTCTAGAAAATGCGATAAATATGTGTTCTGTGTGAACGGCTTGGTTTCAGTTTTGATGTAAACAGCATCTTCCCCCGCATTGATTTTCTCTTTTTCCGCAATATTTAGAATGAACAACGTAGCAGCGCCGCATCTAGTGGCTTCAACTGGATAGACTAACAAAAACATTAAAATGCAACGACACTTACATCGTCATTGTATCTCGTTTGGTTGATAAGGCTGCCTGACGCACACCTAAAATTCGAATTCAACGTTTTTGCATTCGAATGTCGATTTTTATTTTAAATTCGACGAAAATTCGAATTTTGTTAAAATTAGGGTTAGGGTTCATAAAAACCCTTTTTATGAATTTCTACAAGGCATGTAGATGCAATGCCATACGTGCGACAAACATCTTCCCAAATTCGTAATGAGACTCATTTATAAATCTGCTGTTGTCCACAAAAAGAAGCACTGAGATCTTCCTGCGGGTTTCCGCCAAAATAAAACAACAGCTCTATTAATACATTTATTTTAACTTTCACACATAGTGTTCAGATTGGGATCTGTAATATTTTCTAATGTTTTAAAAGAAGTCTCTTCTGCTCAGCAAGGCTGCATTTATTTGTACAGTAATATAATGTTGGTATAATGTCTGCTAGAATGTTAAAAAATGTTCAGTGTTAAGTAAATATTTTTTAATTGTTGTTTTGTAATTGATTTTTTCTTTGAAACGCAAGACATGTTCGGTATTCGGCCTTCGGCCCAGTGTTTCATTTAGTTCGGCTTCGGCCAAGAATTTTCATTTCGGTGCATCTCTACTAAAAGCTCTTAAATCAGAGCAGAATGTCGTGGCATTAAATGTTGCATGCACTGCATAAATCAAATCTCTTCCTCAGTATGTTTGTCTTGTTTTCCAGTTCAAATATCTAAACATCCTTAAATCAAGATACATTTACTGGAGATGCAAAATGAACATGAAGTCTTGTTTTCTGAGAAATTGAACAAAATTAATCAAGTTTATGTTTAAAACAAGAACAAATATCTGTCAGTGGGGAATAAAAATTAATTTTCTGTTTGACTTGTTGATTTTTCTGTGCTTTTTGGCAGGTATTTGTTCTTGTTTTAATCATAAACTCACTTAATTTTGATCAGTTTTTCCAGAAAACAAGATTTCTTATTTAATGTCCTTGTGTTTCTCCAGTTAATGGATCATGATGTAAGAATCTTTATACATTTGTACTGGATAACAAGACAAAAATACTGCGGAAGAACAGCAGTTTTTTGCAGTGTGATCAGAAGGTACAGTAAACGTTACTTCCATATTTTAGTGGTTTGGAGCAGAGATATTCATATTTTTTTTCGTAAAATGAAGAAGTAATGGCAACCTATTAGAAGCTATATTTTCAAGCTGTGAAGTGTAGCTAATACAAGAGATTTACATTTAGAGAACATATTGGCATATTGTAATCCATTCAGTTTATTTCCTTAAATTTATTTATTAGTTTCTTGCTTGGTTTCGAAAAAGGTTTTAAAAAGTCTTAAATTTACCTTCATAAAGCCTTCAGAAACCCTGATAGAGTCAGTCATCAATATGATATGCTGTCATCTTCAGCACACGTTCATTATGCTTCATCTTTACCTTATGATTCACACACAGTGTTGGGGGTAATGCATTACAAGTAACGCGAGTTACGTAATCAGATTTAGGGAGTAACGCAATATTGTAGTGCATTACTTTTAAAAGTAACTTTCCCCAACACTGTTCACATGTGTGTGTTTTGGCTGCAGCTGGACGTTAAGGTGGGCTGGAAGAAGCTGAAGGAGGTGTTCAGTATGGCTGGGACGGTGAGGAGGGCCGATGTGAAAGAAGACCAAGACGGGAAGAGTCGAGGGATGGGGACGGTCACCTTCGAGCAGCCGCTGGAGACCGTACAAGCCATCTGTATCCTCTGGACCTCAACCTAGAGATGATGAAAGTCAAAATTAATTACTTTTATTTATGTGTTTGTTGACGTGACTTTCACTGGGAAAGGTTTAATAGAGAAAAGTACTGATTAAAAATAAAGTTCAGTCAAATTAAGGCAAGACACTACAGGTGAAAAGAGTAAACATTTTCATTAATACAGATCACCCTGTTGATTATTCACAAAACATTAAAGGAGACATATTATGCCTCTTTTTACAATATGTAATATAAGTCTCTGGCATCCCCAGAATGTGTCTGTGAAGTTTCAGCTCAAAATACTCCACAGATCATTTATTATATCATTTTGAAAATGCCTATTTTGAGTGGAAGCAGAAACACGCTGTTTTTCGGGCTTGTCTCTTTAAATGCAAATGAGCTGCTGCTCCCCGCCCCCTTTTCCAGAATAGAGCTGCACCATTACAGCTCGGACCTGCTAAAAACATTGTTTTGGTTCTGATTATCATGTTTATCGCGCAGAAATCATGCATTTTAAACCATATGAGTTTAAACTTCATATACACAGTTCTCTGAGTGCACACGGACAGAAAG